CTCTCTCTCTCTCTCTCGCTTGCTCTCCCGCTCTATTAAACTCTTTCTCTCCTGGAAAAAGAAAAGACGATACTTCGACGACCGCATTAATTTCTCGCTTCCGTGGACAAACGACGGTTCGAAAAGAGAAAGAGACGTTCCGTCAGCGTGTTACACTGTTCAGCTGTAATAGTCGGTTGAGTAAGAAGAAAGCGGCCTTGCGCTACTTTCCATCGTTAGATAATATCGGTAATACAATTTTCTCCGACTTTATAACTCTCGGTCATGAGACGGGAGAAAAGATCGTTCTACGGAATGGATGTAACAGAAGAAGAACTTTTGTTGGACTTACCAACGATGTGAACATGGGGACACCGTTGGTTATGCAGATGATCAATGAGAGAAGAACTTATTTTTACTTTTAGATAGATATTTAGCTTCCACGAGTGGCAAATAAATTTGTCTTCTCTTTTATGAAAATCACTTTTTAGAAAAGTGATAATTTCGTTAGTACTCCGCTGTAATGGAATTTTGTAATTTACAACTTCAATTTGATCAATATTGATTGAACAACTCTATAAATAGAGGAAACTTCAAATATTAAATGTCGTTCCTTAATAAGAGAAAAAGAAAGATCTTTAACTTTTTGCGGCCACAATAATTTTCAAAGTGTAGATCAGAAGGTTCTGCATCAGCATGCGGTATGTACATCGAAACAGATAAAATAAATGATTTTTATAAACAAAAACAGGCAAAACAAACGATTTTCTAAATTAGAATAAAACTAGAGTAAAATCGATGGACATAAGATTACTGGTAAGTTAATAAGAACAGATAACAACTCGATTAATCAAGAAAGAAGAGTGTATATTCGAAAGATTATTGCTAAGGACATCCTTCAGATCCGACCGGTGCTACCCACAAGGGTCAGCCGTGTCTTTTAAAAAACAGTCGACAGATTCAGAAAGATTAAGAATCAAGATACGGAGAGTTCAGTAGGTCAAGGTTGTGGTGAGAGTTTAAGAGTAATCCGTCCTGCTCTGTCTTGCTCTGGGCAACGGTTGACGAAAGAGAAAGACGAGCAAAATCATGGCTGTGGAGGGATGATGGAAGCACATGGTGGTAGGGGCACACACAGAATGAAGAGGTATTCATTCTACGGGCGTAACACTTTTACGGATTACATTTACGTGTTGCACAACCGCGATTGCATAACCGGCATTAGATAATCACCAAATCTGTTTAGGCAAACCTGGGAACCGTTAGAGTGTTTATAACCGCTAATAGAGACCGTTCACGGTACGTTCTTCGTACGAAAAAAGCTCGGTAAATACCTCTGTCAGGTATCCTTGTCTACCCTGCAAATATTTGCTTGAATATAGACCGCGTTTAAACTTATGCCGGAAATATTCTTAACCTCGAACAAACATTGTAGTGAAAAAGCAATAAAGATATTATACCTACGTTAGATCGATTGTTAAATGTATATAATTAATTCTTAATTCATAATAGTAATATTGG